GGTCAACAGTGGGATGGCTTCTAATGTCCTGGCCCCACTGGTGGACCTCCTGATGGCACTGGTATTTCTGGCCACTGTGTGATACAGAGTGTTGGACTGGATGGGCCTTTGGCCTGATCCAACATTGGCATCTCTTATGTTCTCTTATGTTCTTATGGAATACTGTGTGCAGTTCTGGTCACCACACCTTAAAAAGGATATTATAGCTTTGGAAAAAGTGCAGAAAAGGGCAACTCGAATGATAAAAGCGTTGGAACACTTTCCCAATGAGGAAAGGTTAAAGCACTTAGGGTTCTTTAGCTTGGAGAAACGATGACTGAGGGGTAACATGATTAAGGTTTATAAGATTATGCATGGGAAAGAGCAGGTCGAGAAAGAGGTACTTTTCTCCCTTTCTCACAATACAAGAACTCATGGGCACTCCATTAAATTGCTGAGCGGTCGGGTTAGAACAGATAAAAGGAAGTACTTCTTCACCCAAAGAGTGATTAACACATGGAATTCACTGCCACAGGAAGTGGTGGCGGTTACAAGCATGAACGGCTTCAAAAGGGAATTAGATAAGCAGATGGAACAGAGGTCCATCAGTGGCTATTAGCCACAAGGTATAGATAGGGACTATAGGGCAGGTGATGCTCTGTCTTCTTGGAGCTTGGGGGGGGGTCAAGAGTGGGAGGGCTTCTAATGTCCTGGCCCCACTGGTGGACCTCCTGATGGCACCTGGTATTTTTGGCCACTGTGTGAGAGTGTTGGACTGGATGGGCCTTTGGCCTGATCCAACGTTGGCGTCTCTTATGTTCTTATGTTAACGGGACCTTTAGACCCTGCACAGTCTCTTCTGGTAAGACACAGAATTTTTTGGCAATAGATTGCAATGAGGTCCTATACCCTGGTACATCCCATTCAGTTTGCAGTACCTCCTTAAATGATTTTGGAAAAGGACACCCCATCAGCCTCTCAGGGGGGGTTGGTAAAACCTCTCTCATCAAGGTTCTCTTTTTTTCCCTCCAATTTTCCCCCCAAAAAAACTACAAGAAAATAAGGAAAGGGAAACTATAAACTACAGGAAAAAGTAAAGATAAGCCACTAAAAACCCAAGAGGTGATGTACATATAATGATTACAATAAAATAGCTTTAAGTAAAAAAAAATAATTTGTTACATTGAAGGTGATCGTTGAAGTCGCTTAAATAATTCAAGTCCAGGTATTCTGACTTCGTAAAGAGAACTACAAAAGAACGATTAAATATTAAGAAGCAAAACCCAAACTTCAGAGAAAATTAGCATCTCATTTGCCTCTTCTTTCCCTCAATTGATATCCTTGCTTGGGGGCAGCTGCCCCATGTTCCAAATCCGAGTCTTCTGCGGTAAGTGTTTCATCATCACTCCCCTTGTTTCTCTTCTAGTCCTCTTCCCCTGTTGGATCCAATTGTTGCTGCAAAAACTCACATGCTTTCATAACAGAGTCAACTTTTTCCCTCTTATCTTTAAATTTGAAGAGTATGACTTCAGGTACAATCCATTTGTAGGATATATTATTCTTTTGTAGAAACAGGTCTCTGTATTTTTTCCTTTTTTCCCTTATTTCAAAAGGAATATCTTTCAAAACTCTTATCTCCTTGCCATCAATTTTAAGGGTAGTTCCATTTGTTGCTTTTAATATCTGATCCCTCACATGTCTTCTGGAGAATCTAACTACCACCTCACCGGGCAGATTATTTTTCTTTATGTATTCTGAATATGATCTATAGATCAAATCCATCTCGCCTTGAAGAAAATCCGCTTTCAAATCTGCAACAGGTCCCAGGGCATCACTCATAGTCTGTTTAAGATTCTCCCCTTTAATCTCAGGAACTCCCTGAAATCTCAGTGTAAAGCTTGCCTTTTCCATTTGAAGCTGTAAAAGCTGGGCTTCATCAGAGTTTCTCTTCTTTTCCATCTCCTGCATTTGCTTTTTGAGTTTTTTGGTGTTGGCATCCACTTCTTTAAGATTCTCAGCTGTTTGCTCTGTTTTTTTATAGTCTTGTCTAGTTGCTGTTGCTGTGCAGAGAAGTTTTGATTGAGTGTCATCATTTGCTCTAGCAGGGGTCGCAATGCTTCTGTTAGCATCTTAGAGAAGTCTATGGTTACATCCAGTCACGTGACCGCACTCGCTGGGCTGGCACTTCCTGAAGGAGGCTTAGGTTTCGGTTGCTTATCTTTCTCCGTCTTCTTCAGCAACATCTTTGAAGCTGTTTACATTTTTAAAAATTTCCCAAAAGTCTCTAAAGTCTGCAAGTTGCCTGTAATTCTTTTGTAAGTTTCTTACTGTAGTCCCATTTTGCTTTTAATTCCACCCCCCTTTAAAAGGCATGCTTTGAATCCATTTTTATTTCCGCCGAAGGGTTTCCCGCCCCCCCTCGCTTACTTTAGGGGGGACTTTCAGCCACTTCTCTGGTACTCGTTTCAACCAAACTCACTCTCAATGTAGATCAAACAGATCTCGCCATCAAACGTGTAAAGCGCTCGACCTCCACTCGTTTGTCCCGGTGTGTGTCTTTGAGTCCAATACTGGAACACAGCGGCGAGACCATTGGGGCATCTTAATGGGTCTCTGACCGTAATAATAATAATAAAAAAGAACCATCGGGGCATCAGAGTGCCTCAATCCACAGGCACTGTGCCGAGGGAGAGGCAATCTTCAGCACCCCATGGCTAGGAACCCATTGCAAGGGCTCCAGGGTGTCGCGTACAGTCGCACCCCCTCTCCATCCACTGGCTCACGGATCGCGTCCTCGGGAGCTCCCGAGAGATGCGTCCGCTATTATATCACCAAAATGGAAGCCCTCATCAAGGTTCTCTGATGCCACTCTTCTGGGTCTGTCTGGCTTTTCCAAGGAATAATTTAGGGTAGTGACCACTTTCTTGAGCAGTCTCTGAAAATGACCTGCCTGGAACAGTCTGGTGGAGTTGTCTACTTTATCTAACTCTTCCTCAGACCATTCTCCTTCTTCTTTGTCAGACACCTTTGTGGTTGAAGAGCTGATAAGACAAAAGGCCATCAGTATCATAGGGAAGAGCATGGGTCCCATCTCACCATTCCCCTGTCTGCTCTCCTGGCCATAAATAAAGGGAAAGGAGGGGTTTGCTGCTGGGACTGAGCTGCTCAGCTCCACTCACCCCTCTGCGTGCCTGAAGGGCCAGCAACAAGCCCTGTATCCCTGCTCGCCGTGGTTGTTTCCTTGCAGTCCTGCTCTGTTGCGATCAGCCGGCTCGCAGCTTCCTACTGCTCTTGCACCGACCTCAGTGGAGCTGCCAGAGTTATCGCCATTGAGCTGGGCTCCGCGGCCTCAGATGCGTCCCCTCTCTTTCCTGTGGCTGTCAGGATGAGCACAGCAATCTGCTGTCCTTCCTCTTTGCCCGTTGCCTCGGGCGGGGGGGGACCTATCTTGCTTCTTGTTCCTCATCCCCACAGACCCCGAGCCTTGGATCTTTTTGCCGGCTGATGAATCCATCTGTTAACTTCTCCACTCGGAGTTCAGATAAGTTGTCCTTCTGTTTTTCCTGTTTCATTTTCTTTGGCTTTATAGTAACCTATAAGTGAGAGCCTGGCTCTAACTTCCAACTGGAGCAGCAGGGCTATTCAAACTGGGAGGGGGCCTTCACTGGGACCAAAGAAGGCATACAAAAATTTGCATAACCCTCCCTGGAGTGAGTGGAGGCATGACCTAACCAGTCCGGATGCCTTCCCCCACTGAAGAAGAAATGCCCCTCACCCCAGAGATTACATTTATATCCCAGTCACTGGGACAACACTCTGTCTACATACTGGAGCCCGGCTGCAAGTTCAAAGCTGGCCAAAAGAGGACTGAACAAGAACAACAACAACAAAAGTGAGGGATGAGTCATCAAGCCCCAAATATAAAACACTTCAGTGGTTACAGACTGAGACAAAAGGCAACCACCTAACACTTCTGCTAAGTTGTCATACCTAAAGAACAGACACTAGGAAAGCCAAGGTATCTTCCTTGTGGGTCAGGAAGATTAAGACTGATCTCAAAAAAAGATGGACTCCCAAGGAAAGATTATAAATTGGCAGGTCATGACAACTGGCAGGTTCATGTTTCTTAAAAGAACACAAGAACATGGAAGTCTGGCTCTTCACCTAGCAACTCCTGTCTTGACCACATCAAGGGAAAATGGGAAGAAATCCCAGACTCTGAGAACTAAGGTAATGGAGGATTTTTAAAGGCTGCAACTCCTAATTTAATACTGTTGAGAATGTGTAATAGAGTTAGGGTTTAGATAACTGTGTACTTACACCCTTTGTTTTTCTCCATGCCCAGCCTGATCTCTGTGCAGAGCCGTGGGTCCTCCCTTCAATGGTTTATTAAACCTCCTTGTATTTCTGATGCCTGACGCCCTCCCTCGGTGCCACTGAGCCAGCCACCCCTTATAAGGGCAGAAGATGGTCCCCTCTGCTAGCTGGGGATGGGACAACCAGGCAGGAGCCCTCTAAGCAGCTGTGCCCCCCAGAGGGCTGGAAGTACCAGTCAACCCAGCAGCAGATACTCTCTCAGAAGCAGATACTCCCAGGGGTAAAGGAAAGGGCTGCTTCACTGGGCAGAGACCCAGGAGGGTGGAAGTACCAGTCAACCCAGCAGCAGATACTCCCAGGGGTAAGGGAAAGGGCTGCTTCACTGGGCAGAGACCCAGGAGGGCCACGGAACTTTCCTGACAAGCAGGAGCAAGGCTTGCAAATCAGTTCCTTCACAGCGGGAGAAAAGCGGGATAAAACAACTACCCGGCTAAACCACAAGCCAGGGAGACGCTTTCTGCAGCACCACAGTCCCGGCACATACACAGAAAAGGCACTGACCGGGTGCAGGTGGCAACTCCCATCTTCTCCATCACACTTTCATGACAAGGACCACGGAGTGTTCACACAGGCACCAGCTAATCCAGGAAACATAATGCCACCCAAGGCAGGAGCTGCCTGCAAACCCCAGCACCTGCCTCACCTCTCTCTGGAGGCGCTCCATTAACTCATTGTACTCCTGCTGCTCCTTCAGTCTCCTTGCCCTCTCACGACATGCCAAGAGGCGGCGGAAAGCGCTCTGCAGAGTTAGGGCAGCCTTCACTTCATGGCTCTGCTCTGAGACACAGAAAGAAAAACAGCAGGCGGGACTCCAGCAGAGCTATAAAATGCTGCACTGAAAGTCTCGCCAGTGGTTTAGGAAGAGGAGGAAGAGGAAGAGAAAAAGAAGAAGAATTGGTTTTATACCCCGCTCTTCACTACCCGAAGGAGTCTCAAAGCAGCTTACAATTGCCTTCCCTTCCTCTCCCCACAACAGACACCCTGTGAGGTAGGTGGGGCTGAGAGAACTGTGACTGACCCAAGGTCACCTAGCTGGCTTCGTGTGGAGGAGGAGGAGTGGGGAATCAAACCTGGTTCTCCAGACTAGAGTCCACCGCTCTTAACCACGACACCACAGCTGGCTCTAAGGAAGATACATCTGGGGGGTTTTCTCCTAGCCTACCAGACTTAGCCTATTACTTTCCCTTCCCTCCTAACCCATACCAAGGAAGTACATCTGTAGGAAGGCTTCCACTCCAACTCTCCAGTGAAGAACAACACGGCCCAGCTGGTTTTCTTTCCCTTCTTCCCACCCCAAGTTGATGGCTCGGGCTGCTGGAAAAAAGAGAAAAACTAGCTCCTTCTCCTCTCCCATTTGCAAGATTAAAGGAATTTCATCTGTCCCTGTTGGGGGAATTAAGAGTCCAGGAGCTTTTCCTAGGAATCCCATCTCCAGCTGGCTTGATGGGGGGGGGAGGGGGGTTGAAACTGGCAGTTTGACAGACAGACACGTTCCAAGGTTAAAATGATTTACTGAAAATTTAAAGCCATAATGCAAAGTATTCAAGCAAGTAGCAATTTCAGTACTCATTTTACAGAAGGGAACAGATAAGCCAAGACTTATAAACAAACAGTGCACTTATTATTCATTTAGGAATTATTATCTATTTAGGAATGCATTCCATCTGCTCTGGCAAGACCAAACCACGGTGTTGGCAGAGGGCCCTTAGCATCTCAAACACTGGTGTTAAATACCTTTAGAATCCAGATTAGCTGTCAATACAGAAATCGGATGGTCCTGACGAAACCCAGACCCCTCCCTTTTCTGACCAGAAGGCTCTGACCGGAGTCAATATTACTAGGCTAAAAACACTCTCCCTGTCAAGGCCGGTGCTTGGAGCCATGGGTCCTCATATTTAGATGTTTTGGTTTTGAGGCTGGAACTCAGAAATGTAAACAGTTCTTTTAGAGCGGAGTACAGGGTGTGTTGCCAGGCTGAATAGCCTACTGCAAAGCCTTATGGGAGAGAACCAAACAGAGAGTACAGAACTTCCCTGTCTTGCGTATTCTCCTGCCACAGTCCCCACCTAGCTTGGGGGGAGGGAGAGAGAAACAAGGTCTTTCTACACTCCCCCCCCCTTTGCAATGCAGATTTTAAAAGCACTGAATCTGTCCCTGCTCAGCTTGGCAAGTCAGAAGAAAAAGAAGCTCTTTCCATCCTCCCTTTAGCAACGCAGACATTAAAAACATTGCTTCTGTCCCCACCCAGCTTGGAGGGGAGGGGGATGGATAAGAACCTGACACCCAGCTGATCTGCTGATCATCTGTGAGTCAGCACCTGACCAACGGGCTGCTGCAAACTTAGTGTTCAGCAGCTGTTCAAGTTGCTCAACGCAATAGGAACCTACTCTGGATTGGTTTACAGCTAGATTATGAATGGTGAACAAAGTAAATTCATCTGCAAAACACGTTTGCTGAGAAACACGTGACATCCCTAGGAAAGATATAAGCACTGATTTATCAAGGCCTATGGGCATGCAAAGCTGGACTTTTGAGTGCGCAGGATCAGGAACTAGCATGCAAAGTGGATTTGCTCCAGTTCCCATGGCATCAACTCTTGATATTTGTGCAAAATCAGCATTAACCAGTGTGGCGTGGCAAACAAGCGGATTCCAGTCTCGCTCGCACAACTACTTTGCAACAACCCACACAGCAGGCAGGGGCATGCATGGCCGCCCCCAGTTATCAAGCACGCAATGCAAGAACTCTCCTGAGTTTTCCAGATATCTGCAGCTCCCAAGAACCCGTGTACACTTCCTCTCCTAAGGAACTCCTAAATTCTCCACACTGACTGCCGCTGCTAGGAGTTTCTTCGCCAAGCAGGGTGGAAGGAAGCTTGATAGTGTCCATAAACAGGCGGGGGGGCATTTTTAACTGCTCCCCCCAAGACTGTGGCAGTCACTCCCCACAGAGGCGACACTGGCGTCATCTCTTTGGCCCACTGGAGCAAAATGAGCACACTGCTGTTCTTTGAAGTGAGGAATGGTGGCACCGAATCCCTTTTGTGCTGGGTTTTTATTGTTTAATTTTTAAAAGAAGTGTGCATGCACATGGAAGTTCACACTTTGAATAAAACTTTGTTGGTCTTAAAGGTGCCACTGGACTCAGACTTTGTTCTAATTAACTAAAGTTATCAATTTCTGTCCCAACTTTCCACTCAAGGACAGCATGTGCAGTTCTCTCTTCTTCATTTTGTCAGCATTTTAATGATTCAGTTCCTACTCAGAAGAACACTCAGAATAAAGTGCAAAGAAACTCTTGGAAGTTTGCCTGCACAGAACATGGACTGGGACTTATCCAGCACTGAAAACCTTGAGATCTGCCTCCGTCTGGTGGAGGTGCCAGGCCACCCACTCGCTGGCTAAGTGGCATCTCCCTTTGGCCTTAATCTCAGCATCTGGTTGTCCCTCAGAAACAACCTCTACCATTTCTAGCCCTCTGCCTGGCAAGGGAAAGCAGATCGAGCAACGATACTTGATCACACTAATCCTTTCTTCCCTTCCTTGCCTCTACCATGCCTTTGCTTTTGCCCCACTATCAGAATTTAGAGTGCGCCGTTTTCCTGTGCATTCCTTGGACGGCAGAGGTGACAAACAAGCAAGCATTGGAGCGCATAAAACCAGACATGTCACTGGAAGGAAAAATCATAAAACTGTGACTGACTTATTTCAGACATATCAATTTGGAAGAACTCACTAGGAAAAGCAATTATGCTTGGATTGGTGAGCGGCAGAAAGAAACCGGGCCGCCAAAGAACACAGTGGCTAGGCACCATAAAAGTCGACACCAGCCTGAGCATGAAATGACCCAGTACAGTACAAGATTGGAAAACGCGGAGAGAGCTGGCCCATAGAATCACCAAGAGTCAGACACGACTGAATGGCTAACAACCACAACAATAACACTCTCTGGTTGGGGCCCTGCCCTTTTCCTTCTGGACTGCATTTCTGCATACTGCCACCTACGATAAATCAGTAAAAATAAGCCCATTGATCTGCTAAGCGTTGAGATGGTAATGCAATAAGCCACCAAGGCACTAGGCTGAAAGGAACCACGATCCAGCGTACCTGAGGGACCACCTCTTCCCGTGTATACACACCCCCTGAAGAGCACTACGCTCCACGGGTCAACACCTCCTTGCGGTCCCTGGCCCAAAGGGCATGTCCGTCTAGCCTTGACCAGGGCCAAGACCTTCTCTGCCCTGGCCCCCACCTGGTGGGGCCCTGAGGGATCTCCTCCAGTTCCGCGGGGCCTGCGAGACGGAGCTGTTCCGCCAGACGTTTGGCGTCCACACATGGCCTCCCTGAGGTTTCTGTCATTCTGCTATTTTGTCATCTATGCAACAACTACTGGCCATTATTTATATTTCATCACGGACCAGGAATCTCCCACAACCGGAAAAATTTCTTTGCTATCAGCTGGTGACCACCGTTTTAATATTTATGATGATGTTTTAAATTTTAATTTTTACTGTATTAACTAATACATTTTGTATAAATGAAATGTTGTTACCCGCCTTGAGCTCACTTGTGGGAAGGGCGAGCTAAAAATGTGAATAAATAAATAAATAAATAATCCAGTTTTTTTAGAAAATCCCTCTGGCCTCTGAACTGCAGCCAACCTGCTAGTGACCTACTGCACAATCCTTCCAGACAGTAAGTAGCTACAGCAAAGATATCCTAAGACTTAAGTCCCTGTGACATCTTCAGGAGCACTGCATCTTTCTGCAGGTGGTGAAAGTCAGAAGAACTTCTTTACTCAGCAAGTAATTAAATTGTAGAACCCACTGCCAGCAGATGCAGCCATGGGCCTACCACAGACCACAGTCCCCTCTAAGCTGCACTAGGGGTGCTGGCATACAAAATTTTAGCTGCCAGCTCAGGGATTTTAAGCTTCATCAAATGGTGGTGGAAGCTGCGAGTGGTGCGGCCATGCTCAACTTAATATTGACCAATAGGCAAGAGGTGGTAGATGGGAAGAAGAGAAGAAGAGATTGGATTTATACCCCATGGCCCTTCACTACCCAAGGGAGTCTCAGAGCGGCTGACAAACTCCTTTCCCTTCCCCTCCCTACAACAGACACCCTCCTGTGAGGTGGGTGGGGCTGAGAGAACTCTAACAGAAGAAAATGGTAGGCAGTAAATTTATATCTACTCCAGAAGGTGGGTAGGGCTGAGTCATTGTCTTGTCAGGGATGCTCTAGGCCAGTGATGGCGAACCTTTTAGAGACCGAGTGCCCAAACTGCAACCCAAAACCCACTTGAGTATCGCAAAGTGCCAACATGGCAATTTAACCTGAGTACTGAGGTTTTAGTTTAGAAAAAACAACTCATACATTAACATATTTTGTCTTAAAAGAAAAACACAATAATAGAGCTTTCAATGATACAAACAACTTTTTATTGAAAGGTAAAAGTTTGCATTTGGCATGTTTTTGAACAATTAATGTGATTTTTGCTGTTGTATGCACGCTGATACTTTGTCTAACCTTGGCTTTGCTCTGCTACCTAAGGGGGGGGGGGACACACACATGCAGATCTGCTCTCACAGAGAGCTTCCACCTGAACAAACATTGGTCTTAAAGGTGCCACTGTACTCTCTGCTCTGCTACCTAATTGGGGGGGGGGGCCATGCAGATCCTCTCTCCCATCTGAACAAGCGTTGGTCTTAAAGGTGCCACTGGACTCTCTGCTCTGCTACCTAAAAGCGGAGGGGGGGTGGTGAGGCCCAGCTGAGCGTTCTGCCCTCAGCGCGGGCAAGGAAAGCAGAGGGGTGGGCCTTTCCAGCACCGCGCGCTTTAGCACGGTCCTGGGAAGACGGGGTTGGGGGGGGCTTTCCAGGCCCTGTAAAGGTGGGGGAGGATTCACAACTTGCCTTACTTCTTCTGACTCCTCCCAGGCCGACTGAGGGGAAGGCTGCTGGGAGCAGGGGGCGGGGCTTGCTACATGTCCCCGCCCCCTGGCCTCCTCTCTCCCGGAGCAACGCTCCAGCGAGCCCGGCCCCAACAGAGAGGCCACTTCGCCTTGTGGTTGCTCCCGCCGTGGCTCTGGGGCGATGGCACGTGCCCTCTCTGGCAGACGTGCCAAGGGTTCGCCACCACCGCTCTAGGCTGATCCTGCACTGAGCAGGGGGTTGGGCTAGTTGGCCTGTATGGCCGCTTACAACTCTGTGATTCTATGATTCTGCTCTCACACTAAGACATTTTCCTCTCCATTGGAAACAATGAAGAATGGGGGCACCTGTTTTCTCTTATAATATTTAAATTATTCTTAAAATATTGTTTAAAAATATTCATTCAGAGATTTTTACAAGGTAATATAATCTAAAAAGGTAATTTATGCGATAGTCAAATGTAAGAATCATAGAATGTTAGAGCTGGAAGGGACCTTGCAGGTCATCTAGTCCAGCCCCCTTCACTCTGCAGGAGCATGGCCGAAAGACAGCCCTACAACATACCCGAAAGATGGTTGTCCAGCCTCCTCCGCTTGAAAATGTCCAGTGAAGGAGCCTCCACCACATCCCGAGGCAGTCTGTTCCACTGCTCAACCAGTCCTACAGCTAGGAAGTTTCTCCTGATATGTAGCTGGTAACGACTCCCTTGTAGTTTCCACCCATTCGATCTAGTCTTGCAATCTGGAGCAAGAAAGAAGAGATCTGCTCCATCTTCTACATGACAGCCCTTCAGATACTTGAAGACGGCAATCATGTCCCCTCTAAGCCTTCTCTTTCCCAGGTTAAACAGACCCAACTCTTTCAGCCTTCCCTCGTAAGACTTGGATTCCAACCCTTTCACCATTCTGGTTGCCCTCTTCAGGACACGCTCGACCTTGTCAACATCCTTCCTCAAATGTGGTGCCCAAAACTGGACACAGGACTCCAGGTGAGGCCTGACCATAGCAGGATAGAGCGGAACTACCACCTCCCGTGATCTGTACACAAGGCTTCTGTAGATGCACTCGAAGATCGCATTAGCTTTCTTCGCAGCCACATCGCACTGCAGGCTCATGTTTAGCTTGCGATCAACCAGAACACCTAGATCCTTTTCACATGTGCTGCTGTCAAGCCAGGTCCCTCCCATTCTATATCTGTGTCTTTGATTTTTTGTTCCTAAGTGTAGGACTTTGCACTTCTCTCTATTGAAGTTCATTTTGTTTGTCTCAGCCCACTGTTCCAGCCTATCTAGAGCATTTTGAATCCTGACTCTGTCTTCTTCAGAAGACTTGCTTACAACTTCAATGCTACTGACTTTTTTCGCTCACAAGTTAGAATTTATGCTCATAACACTATGGAGCTTAGAGGGAACATTGCCACAGACAGCTTTAAAAGCAGGATTATACAGATTAATTTAGGAGTGATTCATCAGTGGCTACTAGCCATGGTGACTAAAGGGAACCTCCACATTCACAGCCAGTATATGTCTGAAAGCCAACGCTATGAAGTAACACCAGGGGAAAGTCTTGGTCTTTCTGTCCTGTTTGTTGGCCCTCCAGGGCAACTGGCTGACGACAGCTGTGTGGAACAGGACGCTGGACCAGGTGGACACACCCTGGTTTGACCCCTCGGGGGCTCTTATTTCTTTACCTTATTTATTGCCCACCTTTCTCACCGAGACTCAAGGCTGATGACACTGCATAAAATGAAGCCATCAAACAGCACAGACATCCAATAAACAATTCAACAGGACTAGGATTACAAACATGTAGAGCACACAAAGGAGTATAATGCACGGTATGTCAAACAATGCAAAAAACCAGAATTACAAAAGCAGAACCAATGCAAAATGAGCAAGATACTACAAGTACTCAGCTCCGGCATACACTACAATCCAATCCTAGTCCCTTCATAAAAACACCTTTTATTCAGAACTGTAGGACGGCCAGCCTACCAGGCAGCTATTCTCTTAGCAAGACTCTGGGAGCCTGCAGTTCAGAGTTCATCCTAGATATACGGCCCCAGGGCAAGCCCCTCTCCCTGTGCCATAGTTTATCTCCCTAAAGCTGCCAGGCCTCAAGGAACATCACATGGATCTAACAGAGCCTCCCCCCCTCCCAGTGGGCAGCAGCCACCCAACTTCTTACCTGTGGAACAGCCAAGGAGGTCATCTTGGAATCTGGAGCCACTGTTTGGTTGGGCAGCATCCTTCCCATTCATTCGGTGATCTTAACAGGCCAGACAAGGGGGGGAATTGAAGGAATCAAAATGTTTTAAAAAATCTAATTATAAATATCAGCCAGATAAATGGCCCTTTGCCTGCTATTTCATGTGAAATAATGACCACAGAATCACAGAGTTGGCAAGGGCCATGCAGGCCATCTGGTCCAATCCCCCCCCCCCCCCCCCCCCCTCCACCATTCACTACGAGAGCCCAAGCCCCTCTTGCTGAACTTGTTTCCTTCTGTGGGGTAGGGCAGTTACAGGACAAAAGACGAAAGCCAAAACAAACGAGGTTAAAGAAGCAGCACTTGCTAGAGTTCATTCCAGTCAGTCCTACAATATTGCTGCTAGGTTTATAAAATGGGGAAAATATTAAATTCCACATTTTTACAGTATGTCCTTTAAAACTGTATAAAGGCAGGCTCTGTCCAGATTTAAAACTGCATTTTCATGAGCTCCTTCTGTCAGCTGCATCCTCTCGTACCCAATCTGGCCATGCTGATCCACGCTCTTCTAACCTCACGGCTGGAATACTGTAATATGTTCTGCTTTGGGCTGTCCTTGAAGACAACCCGGAAACTGCAGCTGTCTGAGAACGCAGCAGCCCTTTCATTGTCCAGGGCTACTCAATCAGAATACATGTCGCTCATTAGTTTAAAACAGCTATATATGGCCCAGGGCAGCCGATTCCGTCTGATCTCAGAAGCTAACCTTAAGCCTGGATTAGGACTTGGACGGGAGACCACCCAGGAAGTCCAGGGTTGCTAGGTGGAGGCAGGGAATGGCAAAGCGCCACTGAGCGTCTCTTGCCTTGAAAACCCCACCAGGAGTCCAAAGGGGGTGGCTGCGACTTCACCATTCCACATTCGGTCCAAGTGTCTGGTCATGACCTTTAAAGCTCTTTATGGCCGGGGGGGGGGCCACTTATCCAAAGGAATGTTCCCCCCCCCCTTTTGTTCCCGTGGGCCACCGGTGGTCTTCTGCTCCCCCCACTTAGGGAGGCCAGCAGAGCCCTGAAGCCGTGCTTGCGTGGAGCTCCCTGGCTGGGGGTCCTCAGGAGGGGCTTAAAAGGCTTGCTTGAATGTTGGCCCAGACTTTGGACAGGTGATGATGAGCAGGTGGTGGGTGGGTGGGTGGAGGTAACTTGGTGGGGTCTGTTGTCTTGTTCTTGGTTTTCATTTGAAATGTTCTAATTATAGTTGCTAAGCCACCTTGAGCCAAGAGGGAAGGAGGAGCATTCATATCTCAACAAATGAAAAAGTACAGCGAGTGGCAACAATCGATATGTGGAGAGTTCTGGCTCAAATCCCACGCTGCAAGCGGCCTTTTTGTCCTGGACTCTGGTCACTGGTGGTGTCCAGCAAAACCCCCCCAGAGGAGCATTCATATCTCAACAAATGAAAAAGTACAGCGAGTGGCCACAATCGATATGTGGAGAGTTCTGGCTCAAATCCCTGGCTGCAAGCGGCCTTTTTGTCCTGGACTCTGGTCACTGGTGGTGTCCAGCAAACCCCCACCACCCCCACCACCACCACCCCGGGGATCCT